TGACAAAATAAAGTAAAAGGCTATCAAAAAGCCCCTGGCCTACCTAGTGGAGGCCTGAGGGCCGGGATGGGTCAAAAATTTACATTTTTATTTATGTTTTATATTCTAAAATTAATATACAATTTTTAGGAAATAATGCAACAAATAGCACCATTTTTTGATGCATATCAAATTTTTTATGAGTTTCTTTATTTTTTATATCTGAAAAATAAAATAAAATAAAAATGACGTAAAAAAATTACTAAATTTTGGAGACATGATCCTTACATTTTTCTGGGCATGCCTGCAACAAATGGCCTAAAAATGACAAAAGAAAAAGAAAAACACTATCAAAAAGCCTCCGGTCCGCGTAGTGGGGCGCCCAAGGGCGGGATGGGTAAAAAATGTACATTTTTATTTATGTTTTCCATTCTAAAATTAATATACAATTTTTAAGAATTAATGCAACAACCAGCACCATTTTTTGGCGAATATTCTATTTTTTATGATTTTATTTAATATTTGTCTTTGAAAAATAAAATAAAATAAAAATGATGTCAAAACATTTTGAAATTTTGCAGACACAATCCCTACATTTTTTTGGGCTTGCCTAGAAAAAATCACCTCAAAAAATGACAAAAAAGCAAACACTGTCAAAAGCCCCCCGCCTGCGTAGTGGGACGCACAGGGGCCGTGATGTGTCAAAAATATAGATTTTTATTTATGTTTTGCATGCTAAAATGAATAGATGATTTTTAAGGAATTAATGCAATAAGCAGTGCCATTTTTTGATGAATATTCTATTTTTTATGATTTTCTTTATTTTTCATCTTTAGAAAATAAAATAAAATAAAAATGACGTCAAAACAATATGAAATTTTACGTACACGATCCTTATATTTTTCTAGGCTTGCGTGCAAAAAATGGCCTTAAAAACTGACAAAAAGTAAAACGCTGTCAAAAAGTCCCCGGCCCGCATAGTTTGGCGCATAAGGGCCGGGATGGGTCAAAAATTTATATTTTTATTTATATTTTGCATTCTAAGATTAATATACAATTGATAGGAATTAATGCAATAAGTAGTACTATTTTTTTATGAATATTCTATTTTTTATGATTTTCTTTATTTTTTGTCTTTGAAAAATAAAATAAAATAAAAATGACATTAAAAAATTATGAAATTTTGCAGACACAATCCTTACATTTTTCTGGGCAAGCCTACAATAAATGGCTTCAAAAAATGACAAAAAAAGAGAGAAAAACACAGTCAAAATCACCCGGCCCATGCAGTGGGGCTCCTAGGGGCGGGATGTGTAAAAAATTTACATTTTTATTTATATTTTCCATTCTAAAATTAATATACAATTTTTATGAATTAATGAAACAAGCAGCACCATTTTTTGATGAATATTCTATTTTTTATGATTTTTTTTATTTTTCATCTTTAAAAAATAAAATAAAATAAAAACGACGTCAAAATTTTTTGAAATTTTACAGACACGATTCTTACATTTTTCTGGACATGCATGCAAAAAATGGCATAAAAATGACAAAAAAAAAGTAAAACACTGTAAAAAAAACTCCCAGCCCGCGTAGTGGGGCACCCAGGGGCTTGGATGGGTCAAGATTTTATATTTATATTTTTGTTTTGTATTCTAAAATTAAGTTACGAGTTTTAGGAATTAATGCAACAAGCATTACCATTTTTTGATGAATATTCTATTTTTTATGATTTTCTTTTCGTCTTTAAAAAATAAAATAAAATAAAATAAAAACAACGTCAAAACATTATAAAATTTTACAGACATGATCCTTACATTTTTCTGAGCATGCATGCAAAAAAATGGCCTAAAAATGACAAAAAAATAGTAAAACGCTGTAAAAAAGCTCCATGTTCGTGTAGTGTGGTGCCTAGGGGCCGGGATGGGTCAAAAATTTATATTTTTATTTATGTTTTGCATTCTAAAATTAATGTACGATTTTTAGGAATTAATGCAACAAGCAACACCATTTTTTTGATGAATATTCTATTTTTTATGATTTTCTTTATTTTTTGTCTTTAAAAATAAAATAAAATAAAATGACTTCAAAACGTTATGAAATTTTGCAGACACGATCCTTACATTTTTCTGGGCGTGCCTCCAAAAAATGGCCTGAAAAAATGACAAAAAAAAAAGAAAAACGCTGTCAAAAAGCCCCCGATCCACGTAGTGGGGTGCCTAGGGGCGGGATGGGTAAAAAATTTACATTTTTATTTATGTTTTGCATTCTTAAATTAATATACGATTTTTAAAAATTAATGCAACAAGTAGCACCATTTTTTTGATGAATATTATATTTTTTATGATTTTTTTTTATTTTTCGTTTTTAAAAAATAAAATAAAATAAAAATGACGTCAACAAATTTTGAAATTTTACATTGCGCCGAGTGATTATTTTTCTATTTGAGTCTCGGTACTTACATTCATCTCTGTGCTATCGTGGTATTTACTTGTAGATCTAGTCATTGATTCGGGGTCGAAATTGTTTGTATTTAGAGCCATTTGTATCTTGTGTAATTTGTTTTATGTGAAATGAATTTTTCGCTAAAAAAAATTCCAAACCCATGGGATGTGAGGATAAATTCAGCAGTTTTCTTCAATTTTTATTTTTATTTTTATATATTGTTAAGAAGACGATCGTTTTAGTTTAGGGAGAGCTACGTCTACAATAAGTCCACCACAACTATATATTTTATTGAAATCAGAGAGGCACTTCCTGAACAAACATGAGCCCTAATTATTTTCACTTGCCAACCCAACTGCACTTAGTCAATAATGCTTCATTAGAAAGAAAACCATAGACTACTCATAAGGAGCAGGCCATCACCATCACCCCTCCCTTTTCACCCGAATTTCAGCAGATCCACCAGAGCTCCCTAAACTGGAGACCCTTAAGCCTCTTTGCCATCGCCAGCACCAAAAATTGAGCACTAGAGCTGTAGAGCCCCGTTTGCATGAGCCTTTCCTCTTGATCATCTTTACTTGAGTTTGATAAGCCAAAAATTGTAAGGAAACAACTTTGACAAGCCAATAGCTCAACAATAAATGGTTTTTCTGAATTTTTTTTTTTTTCACAACTCAAATTTTATTATTACAGTATTTTTTTTATAAAAATTTAAATTCAACTTTTTTATTACAGTATTTTTTTTTTCTCATACACAACTCAAATTCTTAATTTAAGTTGTAAAACAAGCATACCCTGAATATGATTTTATTTGCGTTGTTTGGATCGTATATTTAGATACAAATTTAAAATTTATGTGAGACAAAATAATATAACAAAAAACTATAAATTATGGAACCTATAAAATAAACACACCTTATCTTCTCTTTTTAAATGTATTTGAGAGGGGTTTTTTTTTTTTTTTAGAATGTTAAGAGATGACATAAAAAACGTGAGAAATATGCCAGTCAATGACTCAATATATCTATAGATTTTTATTGACGATGACTTTCAGAGGCAAAGCATGCTGTTAATTTTTATCAACAAAGGCTAAAATTTTTCGATTCATCTTATGGACAAAAGGAGGGTATTGTAAGACTATGGGTATGCATGAAATTAAAGAGGGTTAAACTTAGAACAGATTTTGATGAAGCAAGGGAATAACCAGCCCTCACACTTGTGCAGTGCTAATGACAATTCCACTAAAAGGTGGGATAGGTCATTTCGTTTGAATACTCATTATCACATGGTAAAAGAAAATTATTTCTAGAATTGAAACTGAAAAAAAAAGGTATGAACTGTTGTTCTAATTGAAGTAATTTTTCAATCATTTGATTTTCGAATGTTTATGTTAAAATTTTTAAAACGCTAGACACAAAACTACTCCTATAAACATCAATCGATAGTGAGTACTGAGAAAGGATAGTCTCAACACGATAAATTCTCTCGAACAAAATAATTTATTTCCTTTACTTTCTACCTAACCAAACACACCCTAAAATTAGTAGCCTCCTAGTTCGCCATAATCCGAACGGAGTCAGTTCGGGTCAGCTCACCATCACACATTCACACTTAGGGCTGTTCATGGGTTAGGTTAGTGCGAGGTAGGGCTTTTTCTTTCCCCGCCTTAAAGAGTGCGGGTTGCACATATTTAGTCCCAACGATGTTAGAAAAATTTCACAACCCAATGATATTTGGGTTGAGTTAGGGCGGTGCGGGGTAAGTTAGGTGGTCGGTTTCAACATTCAAAAAATCAAAGACTCAAAGTTCAATCCAACATTCAAAGTTCATTATCAAATAGAAATAATTACTCTAACATTCAAATAGATAGAAATTCAAAGTTCAATTCAACATCAAACTTGAAGTAAAGTAGTCCATCCAACATCAAACATAAAGCAAACATAAATTAGTCTATACTCATAAATTAATCTTAACATAAAATAAACATAGAGGCTTAATTCAAACATGAAGAAATTAGAGAGTATAAATGAATTGCCTGCCTATGATTAGATATTAGAGGAGACAAGTTAGAGCGCAGATTGGGTTGGGGTGTGCGGGCCATTATAGACCCAACTCATACCCCGCCCCAAAACTTTGGGCTAAACATTGAATGGGCCGAAAAAAAATTTTAATACTAAAAACGAAAATATTAGAAAATATGCTAATATGAAAAGCTTAAGGAAGTATATAGGCTAACTTTTAGTTATAGAAATTAATAGGCCATAACTTGTCAAGTTATGGTTCATAACCAGATAAGTTATGGACATACTTATCAAGTTATGGTTCATAGTCAGACAAGTTATGGACAAAAATCGTGATTTTTAGATAATAACTTGTCAAGTTATAGTTCATAACTAGACAAGTTATGGAGAAAAATAGTAATTTGACCTATTTATTAACTTATGTAAACTATTGACCTATTAATTTTAATTCATCTCAAGTCTTGACATATTTTTCTATTTTTTTCTATTAAAAATTACATTTTCTCTTTTTTTCTATTAAAAATTACATTTTTTAGATTGAATTGAAGTGGGGTGAGTTGGGCCCGCGGGTTTATGAAAAGCCCTATTCACACTGCATTTTCCAAACAGAACTCCTATCAGAGTCCAAATGCTCCGACACAAACTGGAGAGTCTATTAGAACAGAAGAAGGGCATCTTTGACAAATAGTGAAAAATGGAAGCTGACAAGGCAATTCTCATCGAAGTCTTCGGCGAATCATCGGGCAGCGAAGAAGAAGAAGGATCTCAGCCGAAATCTAGATACTGTTGGGAACGATTCGGAGAAATCAAAGGATTGTGGCTCTGCAGAGACTTCCTTTCTACCCAACGCCAATCGTCCTTGCTCTCGGCCATCCAAAACGGTAGCCTTTTTTTAGCTCTCCTCATTTTTTGTTTGTGTGTTTTGATTGTTTCGATTCCGTTGATTTCATATCTTGACGTATAAAAACTCGTTATTGCCGCAGAAGGATGGTTTTCTGAAGCCTCCAACAATCAGGTGCCTATCAAGTTGATTTTTGATTTGGGTATCAAATGGGAATTTGGTTTCATTGCATCAAAGTCGAGATTTTTTGTTTTAAGTTTTCAATTGATCTTTCTGTGCAGGCTATGAGGTTTGGAGAGCTTCAACCATGGGCAATTGAGATTTCTGATTCTATTCGTGATGCGGTAATTTCGAGCCACCAAGATGTTGATCTTGATCATCCAATGGAGTTGGGAAGTTGCAATGGCCTACACGAAGCCTCTCCATTTCCATTTCCGTCTCATTTGTTATCAAGAAACCCACTCTTTGACCAACTCATTGTGAATCTGTATCATCCAGGGGAGGTAAGAATATCAACCCATATATATATATATATATGTATATATATGTGTGTGTCTATATATATATATATATATATATATATATATATAGTTTATTACAAAATATATATTTAT